AACTTCTGTTTGATCCACAATTTCTTCGTAGCCTTCGTCTTCCTCCTCCTCTTCTAGTATAGTAGCAGAAGGGTGATATTGAGCAGGTTGTTCATAAGATTTCTCAAGATCCTCGAGGATCTTCTTAATTCTCAAAAGGATCTCCTATGTTTCACGATAGGCCTGGGTATAAAGATCCATCTTGGAGTATGATCTCTCAGTGTCTCGAGCAAACTGCTCCACGAGAAGCCTCAATTCATAGTTTGGATCTGGCTATGGAGTGTAGCATGGCTCTGCAGAATGGCCCGTGAAGGCTTTCATGGCTAACTCCAGCTCCGATGGCCCTTCTAGTTGTGGGAGAAATTCTTCTTGATAAGGAGGTTGTTCTTGATATGCCCAGGGTTCTGATTGTTCTTCATAGTAGGGGGTTTGATACTGAAACCCGAATCCATAGTCTTCCCCTCCTTGATTGCTCCAGTAAGTCTCAGGGTAATACCACTCGGGTGGTGGTGGATACCCCTACTGGTTGGAGAAGCCATTATGATCCATGATTCAGATCTGCACCAAGAAAAACAAAAACACCCAAGTGAAAACCAAGGGTGGAAAAGAATAACAACAGAAAGAAAAGCTAAATTAACAAACTTTTGCCTTTCCTAATAATCTAGAAAGTCCCCGGCAACAGCGCCAAAAACTTGACACGCTAAAACACAACACCTAACAACGGCCAAGTGTAACCAATGAAAGGGACTGCAGTATAGTGACACAAGTAATAAATATCGAATCCACGGGTCTCTAGAGTTACTATTACTCATCTTCAGTTCATTATCTAGCAAACTAGATTAAGGATTGATTTACTAAACTACTCTACTAACTACTCTACTAATTACAAGTTGGGAACTCACTTAGGTATGATTCCCCCTAGCTCCTTAATTAGGTCCAAGTTGCAATAACCTTTGGTTGATCTACTGTTGATAAACTGCGAAAGATCATAAATTATCTTCGAATCTCTTAAGCTGACCAAGACCTCTTAGACAGAATACCCGGCAGGCGACTAGCCTTCACCGGGATAGACTGCTAAGGCGATTCACCGTGACCGTCAGTTCCCTGCTGCAGCCCCGCCGCCGGATCCAGATTCACGAGGAAGAAGAAAGTGAGAAGCTGGCGCCCCTTGGAACGCTCTTTCCCCTTCTAATCACTCTGCTGGCGACTTCGCCATGGATGCCGGCCACCAGGAAGCCTTTGATATTCTCCTTAATGCTGGTATTTGTGATTTTATTGCTTGCCAACTCTCTCCTCTAGCTTCCGCAACTAATTGTTTATGTTTCACTGTTGGAATCCGCCATTTTATCCTTTTGCTGGGCATTCAAATTTGCCAAAATGTATCGTTCAAGTGCCCGTAGCTGTAAGTAGATTGGGTGAACTGGCCATTTTGAGCTCTCTGTGTTGTCATACAGGAATTCAAGCTGAATTGATTCTTGGAACCATTGCAAGGAGAGCAAATGAGAACAACAGCAACTCCAATGGGGATTATTTGGAAGATAGGGTTAGTTTTAGCGAAGACAAGCTCTTGGACTCTCACAATAAAGGTGTTATGATGGCTTGGGAGAAGCCTCTGATGGAGGCACACGCCAAGGACCATGGCGAAGAACCGGCTTTTTTGGTTCCTCCTTCTCATTTTCTTTTTCCTCGCGAATCTGGATCCGGCAGCGGGGGCTACAGCAGGGAGATCGAGGGGAAATCCCTCTGGCGGCGGCAGAAGCAGGGTATAGAGGAGGAAGAAGAAGGGTGGATGGGTCACGGGTTCGATTTTTGGGTGGGTTAATGGGTTTTTTTAGGTTGGGTGGGTTGGGTTGTGTTTATATGAGGTGACATGTTTTTCTGACGTGGCGGGTCAATTTCTGTTTTTTCTTGGGTTAAAATTGGGTGACTAGGCATCTCTGTTAGCCACGTCAGCAGTTAACTGACGGCACTAACGGAGTCTGACGGAGGTTAACGGAAAGTGACCGAACTTGGACTATTCAACTAATTTAAGTGACTACGAATGGAATAAACGAATTCGAGTGACCAAACGTGAAATTTTGTAGCAATTCGAGTGACCAAACGTGAAATTTAGCCATATATAAATTGTGAGTTTGAAACCAGTAGCTAGAGACTTTCTGAACTAGGTCGGAAATATAGGGAATGGATCAGGTCAGTAACCTTATGCTGAGTAACCCGTCCACATCAGCATGACATCAGCATCCTCTCTCTCCTGAAAAGTCTTTAATTTTCCCCACTTTAATCTTTGACGGACGATTTCTCACTCATTTTAAGTCGAAATTTAATTTTTGTTGCACAGTTAGATCAGATTAATTGTGCTCTTCAAAATGATATCCACTTTAATATATTTTTCGAACAAAAAAAATTGAGCCATTTTTTACTAGTCTATACCATATGGTATTGACTGGTATTGAAATAAAAGCATACCTATGGTTTGAAAAACGTACCATGGTGGTATGAACAAATCAAGACTGTAGGATGGTTGAATACATGATAATAGAAGTATATTAATTGTCATTTACGACTTTTAACATTGTATACCACACAATACCACCTCGTACCAGGGTGGTATTGTATGGTATTGTGTGGTATTTTTTGGTCCTGTAATTTGTTCACCCAGAAATTTGTAGATCCAATAGATCATGATGAACTCGTCCCTTCTGTGCAAACGTTTTCAAAAACGAATTAAAAACGAAGAAGATACCATACAATACCACCCCGTACCAGGGTGGTATTGTATGGTATTGTGTGGTATTTTTTGGTCCTGTAATTTGTTCACCCAGAAATTTGTAGATCCAATAGATCATGATGAACTCGTCCCTTCTATGCAAACTTTTTCAAAAACAAATTAAAAACGAAGAAGATACCATATGGTATGCAGTTGGTACCGAGAGGCCAGAATTTTTTTTTCTAAAAAAATATTGAAAATTGATCTCATTTTGTAGAGCACGATGAACTCGTTCCATCTGTGCAAAAAAAATTAAAATCCGAGTTAAAGCGAAAAAGATATGAGTCAATTAAGAAAGCTAGAAAAAATAAAAATGGTCTTTAATTCTCCTTCCTTAGGTCTAAATTTTCTAAATAAAGGGTCCAGATTTGATTATTGATGGGTGCATAACCCATGGTTATGCACCCTATCTTGAGCCCCTGGGAATGGATCAGGTCAATAACCTTATGGTGAGTAACCATGAGTAACCCGTCCACATCAGCATGACATCAGCATCCTCTCTCTCCTGGAAAGTCTTTAATTTTCCCCTCTTTAATTTTTGACGGACGATTTCTCACTCATTTTAAGTCGAAATTTAATTATTTTTTTGCACAGGTAGATCAGATTAATTGTGCTCTTCAAAATGATATCCACTTTAATATATTTTTCGAACAAAAAAAATTGAGCCATTTTTTACCAGTCTATACCATATGGTATTGACTGGTATTGAAATAAAAGCATACCTATGGTTTGAAAAACGTACCATGGTGGTATGAACAAACCAAGACTGTAGGATGGTTGAATACATAATAGTAGAAGTATATTAATTGTCATTTACGACTTTTAACATTGTATACCACACAATACCACCACGTACCAGGGTGGTATTTTTTGGTCCTGTAATTTGTTCACCCATAAATTTGTAGATCCAATAGATCATGATGAACTCGTCCCTTCTGTGCAAACGTTTTCAAAAACGAATTAAAAACGAAGAAGATACCATACGATACCACCTCGTACCAGGGTGGTATTGTATGGTATTGTGTGGTATTTTTTGGTCCTGTAAATTGTTCACCTAGAAATTTGTAGATCCAATAGATCATGATGAACTCGTCCCTTCTGTGCAAACTTTTTAAAAAACGAATTAAAAACGAAGAAGATACCATATGGTATGCAGTTGGTACCGAGAGGCCAGAATTTTTTTTCTCAAAAAATATTGAAAATTGATCTCATTTTGTAGAGCACGATGAACTCGTTCCATCTGTGCAAAAAAAATTAAAATCCGAGTTAAAACGAAAAAGATATGAGTCAATGAAGAAAGCTATAAAAAAAAATAAAAATGGTCTTTAATTCTCCTTCCTTATATCTGAATTTTCTAAATAAAGAGTCCAAATTTGGTTATTGATGGTGCATAACCCATGGTTATCTTGAGCCGGAAATATAATACATCCATTTTGCTAGAGTTACGTGCTTAATTAATTCCGATAAATACAATCATTCATTCATAGAAGATTCCTACGAAATTGTTCTAAGCAGAGAGGAGAAGGAACAGAAGCAGAAGAGTTGTAAAGATACGGAATGGTGGCACTAGAGATCCAAATAATCCTGCTGCTAATGCGGAGGAGCTGCTGCTGCTATCTCCCCTGTCGTTGTTGGCTCCACATCCAAGCCCGGCGGCCAATTGGGGGATGAGAAAGTCGGACATTATCCGGTACGCGTGGTCGGTGGAATGGTTGTCATCCCAATTTATATAATCGCTAGGGTTTCCGCAGTATGGTGCCCCAGGCATCCCACACCCAACGGAAGAATTCCCGCAGCATCTGCCGTTGGGATGGTGGATCCCTGAAAAAAAAAAAAAAAACATATGTATCGATCGATCTCATAGCTGATCGGTCATTGAAATAATGTTACAATCAAGTGCTTCAGCAAGCTGATCACCTGCTGCCCGAAAATGGTCGAAAAGCCACTCCGTTGCTCCCCACATGTCCCCGTAGACAATTCTCACGCCGGGGAACTCCTCCCGCAGCCTCTCCAGCTCCTGTTGAAGCAATCGGTTGTGCAGTGCAGCCACCGAACTGAGGTTGTTGTCCCAGTGAACTCCACTACTCATCACCATGCATCCAACTTTGAAGATTCCAGGCACCACCACCTTCCTGGCTCCAGTGGCGGATCTAGTGCTGGGCCACCCCGGGCCCCGGCCCAGCCCTCTTGCGGTCCCGAGATAGTATAGTACGTAAGAATTTTTCGTTATTAGGTGTTCGGCCTAGTGCTATTTAAATTCGGTCCAGTATTATTTGATAATAAGATTTTGTGTAACTTGAAAAATAGTATAAATAAACATATCCAAACCACTACTCTCAATTTAGACTAAAAATTCTAGCCCAAATAATTTTCATTTGAAAAGAATAAAATGAATAATGAAACTTAAAAGTCTTACTCGTAACAGACTAAAAGTCGAAAGTTTAATTGAAATAAAAACTCTAAACTAAACCTCAAACACTCTGTCAAACCCCAAAAAATTCCTCCAATTCCAAAAAAAAATTAGAACGATGAGACGAACGAACCTGAAACGGATTCCTTCGCTAGTTCGTCAGGAGCTGATTTTCTTTCCAGTCTTTTGATGAAAAAAATATTAACAAACTTGTTGAGTCATCATTTAAATTGCTTCGGTTGAGGGGTTCACTAGATCCTAAAAGTTATTTTTGATTTTTTATGAAGAAAATATTTACAAACTTGCTCAAGAGTTTATCATCGAGACTTCGAAGGCTATTAGATGCATTCTTTGAAGAATGATCTACGATATTACACCACTCATGTGGTTCATAGCCAAGAATATGAAGTTTCTTCTCTTGCAAAATTACTAGAGAAGCTGGTGGAAACAAGGATGGATACATACTACACATTGATTTGTCGGTTGATTCGTCTAGTGTTAACCTAGCTCGTTCCAACGGCTACTACGGAGAGAATATTTTCAACAATGAAACATGTGAAACTTATTTAAGCAACAAAATGAGCGATGAATTTCCCGCGGATTGCTTAACTATTTTCTTTGAGAAAGAGTATGTTATTGTTATGGATGAAGATTCAATTATTTTATGAATTTTCTAAATAAAAAATCGTCATGTACAATTGACATTGTAATGAAAATTATAGCTATCATTTTTTTAACGGTTTCTAATTTTCTATTCAAATACGGCCCAGTGCTCTACTATATCCTGGATCCGCCGCTGCCTGGCTCCATACTCAGTTATCAGCTTCTGTACATCAACCAAAACGAATGAATTAAACAAGTGTTATTTCTAACTGACACGATATACAAATGTTTTTTTTTTCCCACCTTGACGTAAGCCTCAGTGGTTGCCAAGAGATCGGGCATGATTCGCTTCATTTGGTCGACCCGAGGGAGAGAACTGAATTTGAGGTCTATGTTGGCGTAGTCGTTGCCGGCTCCACCAAGCACCAACAGTGATGAATCCACGCGCTCCCGACGGGCTGCAGTTATATTATAACCCATGTACAAATTAATTCACGAGCGAGGTAATTAATTAATCTCCCAATGCCAGCCTAGGGTGTCCGTTCGGATCGGGTTCGGTTACCCGAACCAAAACCTAACACCCAAATAACTGAAAAGCGAACCCGAATCCGATAAGGACTTTCGGTTTCCTGTTACCCGAAACCCGAAAAATTCCTTATCAGGTTCGGGTTCGGTTAAAGCAAATTCGAAACCCGAATATTCCTTATCGATTTTGGAGGTTTTCAGCAGCAACCAGAAAAACCGATTAGCAAAACCGAACCTGAACAAAAAAAACCGAAATTGTATCTAATCGGGTCGGTTTCAGGTAAACACGAAAACCGAACCCGAATGGACACTCCTACCAGCATTCCACAACACTAAACAATGATAGAGTAAAATTAAAAAAACAAACAAACCGGTTTGATTTCTGTAGGCCTGGTTGAGGTGCCGGTCGAACCACTTGAGCTGGATGTCCACGCTGCTATTGGAGAAGGGCAACCTGACGTGCCATTTGGCTCGAGCTTCCTTGGACAAAAGCCCCACTCCTCCCACCGCAAAGTTGGCTCCTTTCGAGTGCTCCACGTCTCTCTTCAAATACGGGTTCAGGGGAGGAACCCCGGCCGCCTCGGCTACGCAGTCGATGATGGTGTAGCCATCGGAGAAGCGGCCGGTAGCACGATGGATGGTGACGCCGTAAGGGAATCGGCCCATGGGCCCACCGGGGAACTCGGCCAGGGCGTTCCCGCTGTCGAACGTGGAGTCTCCGAAGCAGTAGATGGAGGTGAACCCACAATGCTCCAGAAGCTTGCCTCCTGCAGCTTGGCCCAAGGGACAAGGAACCACGAGTAGTAGAAGAGAGGAAAGGCAAAGCATGCTCTTCGCGGCGGTTAAGAAATGCATTTTTTTTTTCTTCAAGGACCAAGAACTGAACAAGAGAAAGAGACTGGAGGCTCGCAGTTTGGAAAAGGGCGCAAGAGGAGGAGCTGTGAGCTTGGAGAAGAAGGCATGAATGAATGAATGAATGAATGAATGAATGAATGAATAGTGGAAGATATACATAGAGAGAGAGAGAGAGAGAGAGCGCTCTAAATGCATTAAACCACCATTGGTTGGGTGGATGGACACGGTTTCTTTATTGTACGTTGCTGCCCATGACTCCCTCAAAGGCTGTTTCTGTGAGTCTTTGTGTTAGAGTTTCCATAAGGAATCAGGAAAGCAAACAAAGTTGGTTCCTTCCCAAGGGTGGAGAAAGGAGTTTCTGTTTATATACCATCTTGGTGAAAAGAAGTTAATGCATTGGAAGGAGGACGCCTAATGGTAGAGAAGGCAGCTTGCTTGCTTGCTTTTGCTTGGGGTTGGGGTAAAAGAGGAGGGAAGGAAGAAAGATAGGTTTATTGCTATTTAGGGCGGGTGCTATTGATTGTGAAACTGAAACCAATTGGCCCCTTTTTCAATTTCTAGTGCTCTTTATTGCAAAATGTTGTTTTTTTTTATTATTATTATTTTTTGAAAGAGATATTATTATAAAATGTCAAGACTAATCATGTGAAGTAAAAGAACACAAATTACCCTCAAAAGCTTCTCTTATTAAAGCACGCCACTTTGTTTGCTTATTCTAGTAACCTAATACATGAATAAACCTCTCTACTCGAGGATTTTGTAGGGGTATATTAATAATTTAAGATGGGAAATTAAGGGGCAGCAAGGAAGAAGAAGAAAGAAAGAGGGAGACGGAAAGGAGAGGAAGGAGTCATGTGGGGAGAATGAAGTAGGGTTTGCCAAAATTAGATTATATATAGCACTCCCTAGTTCCTACAATTTACCTATTTTTCTTTTATCATTTAATGACATCAAAATAAACCAAAAAACTTTTACCAAAAAAAATTAAACCAAAAAACATAGTAATTGTTTGATCCTATAACTTTTTAAGTAATTCAAAACCGACATGCACTACAAGAAAAATTAGTTTTGGCGGCATTGGATATATGACAATATAAGGTGTTTAATTGCTTCTAAAACCTTTTAGAGGCACATATTTATGTGCTGTCAATATTGCTGCCGCTAATTCTCTTTAGCGACCATTGTTAGCGACACATACTATTTATCGCTAATTATGAATTTAAAGGCTACTAAATCTGCCTCTCATAGTTGGATTCAGCATCATATTAAAGGTCCTAAATTATCCCTATTACAACTGATACTTTTGCAGCCAACCAATTCCACAACTCCTACCAAACCAAACCGGTTACTTAATTAACAAGGAGCCATGATAGGATGGAACAGGGGAAAATCTCTATCCCAGATTCTCCCTCCGCTGGGAGATCCTCAACCGGAATGAAGAGACAAGATCCTCGACAAGACAAGATCCTCAACCGGAACATCGCCGATCAGGTATGTTCAAATATATACACCCCGTCCAGCCCGTCACACCGGTGCCGACCCTCGATTGATTAATTCTCGATTGTTGTCGGTATGGTATCTCCTATGGCGGAACCCTCAACCTTTTGCTGTTGCTAGTCAATGGATGTATATATTTTATCAATCACTGCGTTTGGTCTTCCCATATACAGTTTAGGCCTTACTTCCTTCTTTGAGATTCATACACTGCTTACTGGTAATTGAGTTCGTCGATTGCGCACCACCTAATAATTAAAGGTTTCTCTATTTGTAAAACTATTTCTGGAATTCCTTTTTAGCTAGACCCATGCTGGGTAAGAGGAGATCTCTGGCTCCTAAATCTTGCAGCTTAAAACTTGATCAAATACTTCTCCAATTTCCGTTTGTTCTGCAATGGCGGTGCAACTCTGGCAAGTCCTCGACGGCCGGACATAGTGAACAATTCGCCGGCTTCATTTCCGGTGAGATGCGATTGTTCAAATTCAAAATTGATTAGCGACTTGAATTCCTACTAATTTTTGGGCTGATTTCTTGCATCTTTGTGAGTATTTACGCATATTACTTTCGTATTAAATTCTGGATTACTTGTCCATTTTTTAATTTACCTAATATTTGTTACTGGATCACTAATTTGGTGAGAAACCATTAACAGTATCAGCGGCTCAATTTCAGGTTTTAGTTCTCAACAATTGAATCCAGACTCAAATTGGGCATTGATTACCTTACATTCCCACTCCTGCCATGCACTATTATAATTATTCCTTCACATGTTTTACTCAATTGCATTTCTATATTTGTTAGCTATTTTTTGTTTCTTCTAATTACATTACTTTCCTGTTTACAGGTTATTTATTTTTCCATCTTATATTATCTATAGTAGCTATAGTAATGTTATTAATTTATTTAGTTTTGCAATTTTAGTAGGATTTAATTTTTCTAATTTTGATAAACTTACTGATTGTAGTGTTCTGCACTTACAAGAGGTGAATAATACAGTTGGTGATGTATTTTCAATAAGATCGACTTTGTCTCAAAGACAAGATTTAATCTCTTGTGATAGAGATTTCTAGCACCATCGATGTGCATTTGGTTGGCATTTTGCAGGTGCTCTTATGGTATGAAAGTAGTTAAAGGAAGTTAAATAAGTTTCATCGATATATCAGGTTATAGTTCGATTTTATTCGCTTTTATAAATCTATGAGAATAATTAAGCATGCTATGTCGAAGATTTGCTAATAACTTTTTCTTTTCTTTGTTGTGTCTTTTTGTGACAACTCGATTCTTGTCAACCGGCATACTTCGTCGAAGGAAACTACACTCTCTGATGCGACTATCTTGGAGATGTTGGGTTTTGTTTTTGTTTTTTCCCGTCAGTGTCGTGTCTTTGCTCCTTGGAGCTTCTTCAGAGCTGCCCAAGTAGTGGCTTAACGTGCTCTCTCATCGTAGTTTGGTTGCATACAAACTAACGCGTTGTATTTGAGTCGATTTTGTAATCGTGTCGAGTCTTTGTCCCATGCCCTCTGGGCTTGCCTTGGAAAAAAAAACTGATATTTTGCCGCCAATTATAATGATTAAAGACAGATCATTAGTTTCTATATGTCATTATGGAAGCTACTATAATTGCCTCTATTTCTTTGCGAGATCCTTTTCTTGGTTGGATAGAACAAATAGCTTTTGTAATTAATTTTTATCAAATAGCTTATAATAATCATGAAATATATGAGAAACTTGAGGCACAGAGATGGATGGCAAATGGCTTCAACTTTATTAATATATTTAAAGTCAAATGGTCATACAATTGAGCCACCACAACCATAGGTGTAGAAAATGAAATCACAACAGGGATGAAAGAATAAAGATTGTTCATAGTAGGAAGTGACATACGGAATTGGACAGCCAATTATTTTCCCAATTACCAGAAAAAGAAGTTGCAAAGAAATAAAAGCTACTCATGTTCATGACCTATACTCTTGCGAATTCATCAATTTGATATATGGTTCATACTTGCGTCCACGTTATGCACAATCACCATTGTCCCTAGGGATGGCAGAATTACCCATGCCCATTGGGTTTTAAATATCCAACCCATGTGGGTTAGGTCTGAAATCCAAGTCAACTTTAAATGGGTAAAGTCTAATGGGTCAACACCCATACCCATAATGTTAGATCCACTTGGGTTTTACCCATGGATTTGGGTTTCAAAATCCAAACCCAAATAATAAAAAATGAAAAACGAAAAATGAAAAAACCCTCTGCCTCACTCACTCGCCAATCGTCATCGTCCCTATTTCCCAAGTCTCACTCACTCGGCAATCAACATTGTCGTTTCCCTCAACCCTCTGCCGGCGGCGACAATGTTGATGACCAAAACCCAAGAATCGGAGACGGCGATCGGAGAGCGGACCTGAAGCTGGCCTCTCTTGCCTCACGAATCGAACACGGAAGCGCCGCGCCACATTTCAGATTCCGCCGGGAGATTGAAGCGACGCCTATTTGCCTGCTCCGCCTCATCAATACAGTCGAGAAGCCAACCAGAAACCCATTCCGGCAAGCGCCCAACATCTTGATTGTTCTCTTCTCCTATCGACCCGACGTATTGATATAGACAACCAGAAACCCACTCCGGCAAGCGCCCGACGTCTTGGGTATTTTTGTCTCCAATCGACCCGAGACCAACCAGCTTCAGGTATGCTTCATCTTCCACTGAGTGAACTGGGTCTTACTAAACAGAGGAACATGAATTTCAGATGCTGTAAACTGGGATTGCTTGTTGGTTTACGTCATGAGTTTCAGGAAAAATTTTGAACTGAAGCATATCTGAATGTGAATGTTTGAATGATTGCTTGTTGTTTGCTTGGATTTTCTAGGGAAATATGGCTTCAGAAATGAATGATGATAGTCTATCTACAAATCATGAGAGTAGTAATCATGGACAGCCTAGTGTGTCTTCTAGTCGTATGGTATGGTCTTTTGAGAAGCAGTGGTCTGATGTGTGGAAGGATTATGATCGAGTTGTAATTAGTGGGCTGAGAAAAGCTGAATGCAAATACTGCCATAGAAAGCTTGTTGCTGAATCCAACTCTGGAACTTCTCATTTGCGAAATCATTTGTTTAAACGTCCTGTAAAAAATGCTAATCCAGTCATGGTTGGTGGACTTTTGGGTAGTAAGAAAAGGAAAATTGGTACTGGAAGTTCGAGTCCTTCTGTTTTTGACCAAGAAACTAGTAGAAGGGAGCTTGCTTATATGATTGTTCTTCATGAATTTCCTCTATCGATTGTCGATTATGTTGGGCTTAGGAAGTTTGTGTATTCTCTTCAACCGTTGTTTCAAATGGTTTGTAGAAATACAATCAAGAGTGATATTTTAAAGATATTCAAAAAGGCAAAGATGAATGTAATTCATGAGTTAGAAAAAGTTAGCAGTAGGGTGGCGATTACCACTTATATGTGGACTTTGAATAACAGGAAAAGAGGGTTCATGGTAGTAACTGGTCACTTTATTGATGATGCTTGGGTCCTTCAGAGTAAGATTTTGAGTTTTATCCACGTTCCTTCTCCACATACCAAGGATGTTCTATGTGTTGTATTATTGAGTTCTATGACAGAATGGAACATTGAGAGAAAAATTTCAACAGTGACCGTGGATAATTGCAGTACTAATGATGCTATGATTAGAGCTCTTGTAGGAAAATTGCAAGAAGCGAAGAGTTCGACATTTTATCTTGGTGGCATGGCCTACAATATCCAACCTTAAGGCTGATTGCTAAAGACATTCTGGCCATTCCAGCGTCAACAGTTGTCTCGGAATCTGCATTTAGCACAAGTGGAAGATTATTGAACCCTCATCGTAGCCACCTTGATGACACGACTTTGGTGGCTCTTATGTGCACCCATAACTGGCTTAGGAATGAACTTCATGGTAAGAAACAACTTATTGTTGCTGTTATTCATTATTTACCTTCTGTGTATGTTGTGGTTGAGTGCATTTTCTGCTTTCTGTGGAGGCTCTTGTTGTGCTTTCTGTGTATGTTGTGGTTCCAGTACTATAACAAGAACATTCAGGCAAGGCACCTTTTTGTTGTTATGTGTCGATTATACAACTTTATTCTTTCTTTCTCTTGTAATTTGGAGGTTCTTTTGGGGACCTGTTTTGGTTAGGAATTCTTTGATTGAGATTTTTAGGAGATAGGAGGTGATAATGATAAAGAGAGGCAAGTTACAGGAGCTGGTAGTTATTGCTGCAAGTAGAAGAGGGATAGTTTTGCTCCATTCAAAACATGTAGTAGGAAAAAAGGATAAGCTTATGATAATGCTGTTGTTTCTAATTCAGTTGTTTCTAATTCAGTTGTGTTATTATATTTGCAGGTGTAGCCATTTTCTCTTCAGATGTTGATGGTTCGACTCAAACCATATTCTCTAAGAATGATGGCAGTGATGATGAACAAGTTATGAAATATGATGACTGAGAAAGAATCTGGGAGTTTGTATCTGAAGTCATCTATCTAAGTTATTATTAGGGCAGTTGTTTTCTATGAAAGATGTTGCACTTTTCTGAAGCACAAACTGGTAATCTTAGGTATTATGTATGTTGTTGGTTGTCAGTGACGTGAGTGACATGGATGGATATTCCCCCATTTTGTTGTGATATTGTTGATGAACACTGGTTGGTTGCTTATCCATTTTCTATAAACCGTTTTCAAGGGTTTCTTAAATCAAATTCAATATGTTGGAGAATGGCGTTTTCCTTATTTCCCAGAGATATCCCACTGATCTTCCGCAACCCCTTTTTCTTCTGCTTCTTCTTCCAAACTGTTAAAATCCCCACAAAAAAAACCAGAAATTTTAAAAACAAACTCACCCACCCACATTGTTCTTACAAAACAATGAAACATCCCTCTCCAAACCCTCCAACCCAAATCATAATAAAAAATCTAAAGAACGAAACTAATCATCATCTTTACACACTTCCATTACATGATCCATCCCTCTCCCAAGCTAAAACTAACCATAATTAGTTAACTTATAATTAATCAATTTAATCGGAAGAAGGTAGAGAGAGCCTTAATCACACGGTTTAATCTCTGAATCATCCCACGGAATGTTGAGATCCGCGGAAGAAACCAAATTATCCATGTCGACATCCCAATTCCAGTACCCCTCGCCGCCGCTTGCCATATTTACTCCGGCTTGATCTGCGTCATCGTCACCTGTTTCACCGACGAGTTCTCCTCTTCAACTTCTTGGACCTTGTGACGCGATGACGACGAGGCAGATGGTTTGATGCCCAGCCCAGATCCTAGATCCTAGATCGATGAACGGCCGGAGGAAGATGACGGTGACGACCCATTCAAGGCCTTCCTGTCCAGATTCAAGAACCTTACTGCGGCGGGGAAGGTCTCGCTGCTCGAATTCTTCGGGGTTCCGGTGTACATGTCGATGTTGATGCAGAACGACGACGAGCAGGTGACGGTGAAGACGAAGAGCACCACCGCATTGGTGACGGGCACAATGATGACGAGCAGCTCCTCGCCTGTCAGTCGGAAGAGTTCGGCACCGGCGTTCGGCACCGTCGAAGCAGCCGACGAAGAGCGATGGTCGCTGACAGCCAAAGTTACATTTTAGTACCTGAATTTTTTAAGAAGATACAAATAGGTCGAGCATCATATGTGGAAAATTTTATTTTAGTACATTAAAAATTTCTCTTTACATTTTAACACCTAATAAAAAAAAACATATACAGGCAGGTCAAAGGAGATGGGTACCCAAGCCCAATCCATATAGAATAAATCCATACCCAACCCCTTTAAATGGATATAATTGGGTTTGGGCAAAATTACCCATAGGTGGGTAAATTGTCATCCCTAATTGTCCCTCCAATGCAACTTGCAAACAATTTGTTTGATGAATCCTATGCAAAATAAAAAGTCAAAACATAAGATCATTAGTTGAAAACCTGCCAAAGATTGGAGCTGTACACTTATATGCAATATAATGTGAAACAAAAAAGTAGCTTTCATAGTTGGAAAGAATTTAGGTAAGACACATGTTTATAAAAAGTAGGAGGGAAATATAAGACATTAGTCATGACAACTTGTACAACATTTGAAGATACCTTGATGGAATTTTTCCTTTAGCCACGATGAACAACGCTTTCATTTAACAGCAGCCACTTGCATTCTTTCAATGTCTATTTGGCCATCTACAGAGCAGTAGGAATCAAAACGTGAAAATGAATTACCCAGCATGAAAAGGAATATTGCAACAAATGAATCACTTGCACTTCTGTAGTGAAATAAAGTTGGTAAGATAAAACATCAAACTAAATTGATTAAAAGGATTTAGTAGTACCTCAATCTTAGGGTCTTGAAATCCTATGTTTTGTTAAGGCATGTAGATTAGGGATCAACTACTTTGCTGCCATAATCCGAGCAACACTTGGATGAGCACCAGTAGCTGCTAAGATCAATTTCCCAGCAACATTAACCTATGAATAAGTAACTTGATAAGGTGTGACTATTGACACAGTTCACATGGTACTAAGTTTCAACAGTTCAAACCTTCAAAAACTATAGAATTATTTTCATAGACCAAGTTCACGCTTAATTACTATTAATTGGTGATTACATACTTGAATTTTCCTTTCCTTCTAAAACAATCAAATTAAAGTAATTGTGTGCAAAGCACCGATCATGCATATATGTACTTTTCCTGTGCTAGTAGAAGCTTCAATTCTAAGTCAGGTATTAGAATCAGAGTTCAATTACTACTAACAAGTTGATTCCTACTTACCCAAGAAGCCTACGTTTTGGTTGGAAACACTTGATAATCATAACCCATATGTTGAGATAGGATAGCAATCGAAAAAACTAAAACAAACATTCATGAAATTCAAAAGCAATAATATCAACCCTCAGGGAAAACAAGAGGTCAATTTGGAAATTTGTATCAATCATGAGTATCTTTAGGCCATTGATAATTCAAATTAATATATTTATCATATTTTCAATGATTTCTTTTAATAGTTATCGTGACAATCATCATTGCCTCAACCTCTAAAACAAAAATATTTACCGGCTATCTCCTGTGTCGCCAAATCATATTTTGATCATATTGGTTACTTATCTTTACCCGCAGATAAAATAATTGCCTCTAAAAACATTGCTTTAATTTTATTCAAACAAAATATTTCATCAAAAAAATATTTAGCGGCAAATAGATTTCTTTTATACTCGTTCAAATAGTAATCGCTAGCTAAGATTGAGAGCATAGACTCCAGTTCCAATCCTCACACCAATTCCTCATCGTTGGGTCAATCAACGAGGCAAACACCTCACCCCCAACGCATCTTTCAGCACCTAGGGGATTGGGTTGGACTAAAAAATCTTGCTTTTTAACTCATTTAGATCTATTCTATTTTCTTTTCGGGCTCGGCGGTACCCAATTATCTACAAGAAAATCAACACCCTCTCCATCTCGCACTTTCCACCAGAGGCCTTCCTGAAGAAACTAGCGAGAAAAGAACGCACTTTGCCAACTCCCTGACGTCCTCAACCATGTAGTCGTCATAAAAAGTGTCACATGAGAAAATTACTTTCCTTTATAAG